GAAACTGAATGCTCTTCACCGCTGGTTCCGTCCAGCTCTCCAGAGACTGAACGCTCCTCACTGCTGGTTCCTTCCAGCTTACCCGAGCTCGAGCTCTCAGCCCCGCTGGTTCCGTCCAGCTCTACCGAGCATGAACTCTCAGCCCCGCTGGTTCCGTCCAGCTTTCCCGAGCACGAGCTCTCCGCCCCGCTGGTTCCGTCCAGCTCTCCCGAGTGTGAACTCTCAGCCCCGCTGGTTCCGTCCAGCCTTCCCGAGCACGAACACTCCGCCCTGCTGGTTCCGTCCAGCTCTCCCGAGCGTGAACTCTCAGCCCCGCTGGTTCTGGCCAGCCTTCCCGAGCACGAACTCTCCGCCCCGCTGGTTCCGTCCAGCTCTCCCGAGCGTGAACTCTCAGCCCCGCTGGTTCCGTCCAGCTTTCCCGAGCACGAGCTCTCCGCCCCGCTGGTTCCGTCCAGCTCTCCCGAGTGTGAACTCTCAGCCCCGCTGGTTCCGTTCAGCCATCCCGAACCTGAGCTCCCCTCACCATTGGTTCCAACCAGCCCCGTCCAGCCATCGCCCAAGACCGTCCAGCCAGAGACCGTCCAGCCAGAGACCGTCCAGACCGTCCAGCCAGAGACCGTCCAGACCGTCCAGCCAGAGACCGTCCAGACCGTCCAGCCAGCGACCGTCCAGACCGTCCAGCCAGAGACAGTCCAGACCGTCCAGCGAGAGACCGTCCAGACCGTCCAGCGAGAGACCGTCCAGACCGTCCAGCGAGAGACCGTCCAGACCGTCCAGCGAGAGACCGTCCAGACCGTCCAGCCAGAGACCGTCCAGACCGTCCAGCCAGAGACCGTCCAGACCATCCAGCCAGAGACCGTCCAGACCGTCCAGCGAGAGACCGTCCAGACCGTCCAGCCAGAGACCGTCCAGACCGTCCAGCCAGAGACCGTCCAGACCGTCCAGCGAGAGACCGTCCAGCCCGTCCAGCCCGAGACCATCTAGACCGTCCAGCCCGAGACCGTCCAGTCCCCATCTGCCCTTCACCCGGGGACTCAACCCAAATATTTTTTTGGGGGGGGCCCAGTGTCCCAGCCACGGCCGCCCGAAGGGCTTTCTCCGCCGTGGCCGCCCGAAGGGACCTCACCGCCGTGGCCGCCCGAAGGGCTTTCTCCGCCGTGGCCGCCCGAAGGGACCTCAGCGCCATGGTCGCCCGAGAGGTCCTCACATCCTGCTCCGCCCTGGCCACGCCCTCATCCTGCTCCGCCCTGGCCACGCCCTCATCCTGCTCCGCCCTGGCCACGCCCTCATCCTGCTCCGCCCTGGCCACGCCCTCATCCTGCTCCGCCCTGGCCTCGCCCTCATCCTGCTCCGCCCTGGCCACGCCCTCACCCTGCTCCGCCCTGGCCACGCCCTCACCCTGCTCCGCCCTGGCCACGCCCTCACCCTGCTCCGCCCTGGCCACGCCCTCATCCTGCTCCGCCCTGGGGACTCCCTGCTCTTGACCACGTCCTCCACAGCCTCCAGGGCGCCCACCCCCCTCCCCGCTGATGTTTCGGCGTGAGGTCACGCCTACCGGGAGGGGGGAGTGATGTCACAGTCTTCGTCTTCACCTGTTTGTCTCGTCATCTGCACTACACCTCCCCGGATCCTTTTGTTTCCACTCCCGGACTCACTCCCCAATCAGCCACCTGTTCCTCGTCCCGTCATCATCGTTTTCACCTGTTTGCACCTCGTTTAGTTTGATTCTTCTGTGTATTTAGTTGATTCTCATTTAGTGTGTCTTTGTCGGTTGATGTTTAATGTTACCCAGTATTTGCTCCTGTTTCCCTGTCTTCCTGCCGGTATTTTGTAAATAAACGTCATCTTCGTGTACAAATGGACTTCTTCCGCTCCTTCTACCTGCACTCCTGCACTCCCACCACCACACCCCGTGACAATTACATTATTTACAATACACATATTTTAATGTTTTTTTGGGGGGGGACAACCCTCAGATAGGGGGGGTCCTGACCCCCCCGACCCCCCCGCGATTTCCGCCTATGGTCCAGCCATCTAGAGACTGAACGCTCTTCACTGCTGGTTCCGTCCAGCCCTCCAGAGATTGAACGCTCGTCACTGCTGGTTCCGTCCAGCCCTCCAGAGACTGTATGCTCTTCACTGCTGGGTCCGTCCAGCCATCCAGAGACTGAACGCTCTTCACTGCTGGTTCCGTCCAGCCCTCCAGGGACTGAACGCTCTTCACTGCTGGTTCCGTCCAGCCCTCCAGAGACTGAATGCTCTTCACTGCTGGTTCCGTCCAGCCATCCAGAGACTGAACGCTCTTCACTGCTGGTTCCGTCCAGCCCTCCAGGGACTGAACGCTCTTCACTGCTGGTTCCGTCCAGCCCTCCAGAGACTGAATGCTCTTCACTGCTGGTTCCGTCCAGCCCTCCAGAGACTGTATGCTCTTCATTGCTGGTTCCGCCCAGCCCTCCAGAGACTGAATGCTCTTCACTGCTGGTTCCGTCCAGCCCTCCAGAGACTGTATGCTCTTCATTGCTGGTTCCGTCCAGCCCTCCAGAGACTGTATGCTCTTCACTGCTGGTTCCGTCCAGCCCTCCAGAGACTGTATGCTCTTCACTGCTGGTCCCGTCCAGTCTCTCCGAGCCCGAGCTCTCTTCTTCGCTGGGCCCGACCAGCCCAGCCCCAGAGACCGTCCAGCCAGCGCCAGAGACCGTCCAGCCAGCGCCAGAGACCGTCCAGCCAGCGTCAGAGACCGTCCAGTCTGTGCCGGAGACCGTCCAGCCTGCTCCGCCCTGGCCGCGCCCTCAGCCTGCTCCGCCCTGGCCACGCGCTCAGCCTGCTCCGCCCTTGCCACGCCCTCAGCCTGCTCCGCCCTGGCCACGCCCTCAGCCTGCTCCGCCCTGGCCACGCCCTCAGCCTGCTCTGCCCTGGCCACGCCCTCAGCCTGCTCCGCCCTGGCCACGCCCTCAGCCTGCTTCGCCCTGGTCTCGCCCTCAGCCTGCTCCGCCCTGGCCACGCCCTCAGCCTGCTCCGCCCTGGCCACGCCCTCAGCCTGCTCCGCCCTGGCCACGCCCTCAGCCTGCTCCGCCCTGGCCACGCCCTCAGCCTGCTCCGCCCTGGCCTCGCCCTCAGCCTGCTCCGCCCTGGCCACGTCCTCAGCCTGCTCCGCCCTGGCCACGCCCTCAGCCTGCTCCGCCCTGGCCACGCCCCTCTCAGCCCCCAGTTCGTCCCCCCTCCTTCCTCTGTTCTGCGGCGTGAGGTCACGCCTCCCGGGAGGGGGGAGTTCTGTCACAGTCCTTCGTCTGCACCATCCTGTCTGCGTCTCCAGCACTACACTTCCCAGGATCCTCTTGTCTCCACACCTGAACTCACTCCCTCATCAGCCTCCCGTTCAGCGTCCTGTATTCATCTGTTTCACCTGTTTTCACCTCGTTTAGTTTGATTCCTGTGTGTATTTAGTTCCTTCCCATTCAGTCTGTCTTTGTCGGTCGATGTTAATGTTACCCTGTGTTCCGCCTGCCTGTTTCCTGTTTATTTGAGATTAAACCTTTTGTATTGGAGCTTTTTGGACTCTGCCTGTTCGTTTGCCTGTACCCACCCCGTGACATAAAGATTGAATTTGATCGGTAGATTTATTTTAAATATTTATAATAAGCATCTTCGAATGTCTATATGGCAGTTTTTGTAATGGATATTGCAATATGTATATTGTATGTATGTATGTGTGTATAGTGTATGTGTATGTGTATATGTACATATATATATATATATATATATATATATATATATGTGTGTGTGTATATGTATATGTGTGTATATATATATATATATATATATATATATATATATATATATATATGTATATTTTATTTGCCTTGTGTTTTCTTGATATGTATATTGTGTGTCTTTTCTACTTATTTTTGGATTGTGTTTGTCTGTGTTGGGGGACAACGGATGGAAATTAGCATTGTGCTAAATCCGGCATATTTACGTTCGACTATGTTTGTACGTTCATTGATATGCATTGTCCCATCTAAATAAATAAATAAATAAAAATATAATTCACATTGAAAAAACATAAATTGACATTCCCACAATTCCCTGTGTGACACTTCACATTTTATGTATTTTTGTTAAAATATCTATGGTTCCTCATAGTTTTATTGTTGTTTTTTTTCCAATCAGTTATGTACATTAGGGTTTTATGTTACATTTAATGTTGTTAAATTGATGTTTATTGCATTTTTTAATTTCATGTGTGTTAACATAATGGTGCTTAATGTTTGTGTGAATGACACTGAGCAGCTTCTTTAAATAAGTATTGCTTTATATAAGTATTCACTTGTGATGAGCTGTGATTGCTCATGTAACTCTCATCACTGCTATGATGATTGTTGGTTGTCAGTGTATTACAATGGTCTAAAACAGATATCAATACATCAATAAGTTGGTAAATCAACATTTTATCACAAAATAAATTACGGTTTATTACTGTAAATTTTAAGTTAAGTCTGTAAAACCATTAACGTTTCTACCGTATTTTTAACGGTAAAGTTCTGGCAACCACAGCTGCCATTTTTTTACCGTAAAATTCACGGTTTATTTTTTACAGTGTGGCTTCTCTTATACAGTGTGGCAACTCTTTATTCCAGACATGGCCGTAAAACATCAGCAGGTTGGAGTTTCTAAAATTTCTGGTCAAATTATCCTCCTTTAGGGAACGGTGGGTTGCATACACAACCAGGACGTTCCTATGTCTAATTCACATATTAATGTGCTTGGTAAAAGTGAAAGCAACGTTTCATATAAGAATATCTTATTATTATTTTTGTTTCCCTTTATATTTAATATTTAAAGAGCTGTTTAATGTCATATAGAAAAATGGATGAAAAAAGAAGACACAAATACCTTTGAAAATATATAAATATTTTAAATCAAATGCTTTATTAATGTCATAAATATAAAAAATTATTCATTTTATTATATATATTTAAAAAAAAAAGGTGAAAGTGACATGTGAAAGCCAAGTATGGTAACCCATACTCGGATAAAAAATAATAATAAAATACATTGGCATAGTCATGGCATAATACATCAATTCTCATAGTTACAGTTAGAACAGTTAATGATAATTTCTCTTTCTGAATAAATTCGGTGTATTACTGCTTGAATATATCTATTTATTTAGATTAATTTGAAATTAATCAGCCCAAGCATTATCAACACTAAAACCAAATAAAACCCCAAAATGTCAAAGACAAACATAAAAATATCTGACTTAAACATCCACTGAATTAAAAGCATGGATGATGTGTTTTGAAAGAATGTTTTGTTGGAACCAACAACAACATGTCTTTAAATATTTGATTTTAACTTGGTAAGATGGTAATTAAGAAAATGAAATGTAGAATAGGAGCTGCAGTAAAAGCTAAAGTCCCTGCAACACAGCTTCCATTCAACAGTTCAGGAAAGACATTTAAAAAAACAAAAACTTTTAAAGCAAAAGCTTAGATCAAGTGAAGCCCTTGAGCTGAATTTCATTAGCTGCTAATAGCATAGAATGTAAATATAAAGGAAATCTGAATTCTGCTCCTGTGGTGAAAGAAAGGGGTATAAAATCTGTGTGTGGTATTTGTAATTCATTTCATTAACCTTTGAATTTTATTCAACATAGAAATATAAAAAAAGTAATTCAGTCCACATGAAGATGAAGGAAAATCCTCCAATTGCAGAGATTTTTCCTGATCAAGAGATGCTAATATCTGCGCATTCTGTCATCATCTTGCCGAAAGTATGGGTTTTGTACACCATTTTCCGCTCCTCTCCCACTGTGACCAGAGTATCCTGGGGGAACTTGACCCCTATAGCTCATGCTCTCCTCGTAGTCAGAGTAGAGCTATAAAATCACAAAAAAAATTATTATAAACACTTGCAGATTACTATTAATAATAAAGGAGATTTTATCACTTAGATTAAACTGTTGGAAACTTTCTTACCGCTTTGCTCTCTGGGCGATCTCTGGTCACCAGTGCCTGATTGCTCCCACTATTGGTCATCTCCAGATTGTTAGACTTCCAGCTAGCATCAGGATTGGCCCGAGGGATCCTGGGAACTCCTGCAGGTTTGTGTAATTCCGTATTGCCATAGTTTGAGCTAAAGTCTACCTTGTCTGAAGAGCTGTCCTTTTGATCCCTACAATCGTAAATGTATGCACAGACAAAAATGAGTGTTTTGCATCTTTGTAAACCGACCCAGAAAATGTGTCCTTGAAACTCACCTGCAGCTTACAAAAATCAGGGCCACAATACAGATGATCAGTAAAACACCCAATACAGTGGACACCACAACCACAATCAAAAGATATGCTGTAACAAGAATTTTTATTGAACAGAGATGCATGAATGTTTCTCAAAATAACTAAGCATTCCAGAGAAGATGCAGCTTGATTCTGATGATGGCGATGATTACTTACATTCACTGCAATTAAATCCAGAAAAGCCAAATGGGCACCTAAAATAAGCAAAACAGCTTTCAGTGATAATGTGTACAAATACCACAAACCCATAATGACATATATTACATTACATTTATATTTTGGCACTGTAAAATTTAAATACAGGCAGCTGTATTTGCTTATTGTATTTACTTAGTTATTTCTGTTTGATCTTAAAAATGACCTTTATGGGTGAGCCTAATGAGTATGTTATATTATATAGGTCCTTAGTGGACCCCGGAAAACTTTAATATAATTATTTATGAAAGAATAATGAAATTTACACATAGAATCAAGGAAATCTCTAATGAAATGATGCAAGTGCATACGTTTTACATTCTCCATTCACTGCTTTTTTCCCATTCGGACAAGCTGTAAAAAGATGGGAGCAAAATAGTAAAATTATCAGAACCTGTCTGAATGTTTCAAAGTTGTGCAAATAACAGTGAAACTAAAATACTTACATAAGCAGGTAGAGGATGTGAATTCTGAGCTGATGTACCCTTCCTTGCAAGTACACTTCGCAGTACCACTAAGCCCTTCCTCACAGGTTGTGGTATCATTGTCACAAATGGACTTACACAGACTGTCTCCTGTGATTTGAGTAAATAAGTAAAAATTTACTAATGTATGCTTCATTCCTAGTTTTTGAAATGACTAAACATTTTAAAAATTTCTTGAAGGTAAACCAGTTAAAAGAAGACGTAGAAACATACGTTGGAATCCGTCAACTTGAGGTATTTCATTTATAATATTTTTCTGAATCAGTTCTTCAACTTTATCAAATGTGGCAGTGGATTTCAAATCATAGAAATTCTGCACATCTGCAATTATACTGCCAGAACTGAAAGAACGGGTACAAGGAAATTATTATGAAAAACACACATGCAACAAAACATATTTTATATGAAATAATTCCAGTGGAGAAGCAAAATGCCATTAAAAGTTTTAGATTTTAGCAAGGGGTCAAATTAAAACCCTCTACTTTGAGTCATATTGCTAAGACTGAAAGTGCCAATTATTATTTGCAATTTATTTAACTGAGACTGTGCTTTTAGTTTCCTTTTAATCATTGTTATTCAAAAAACTAAAAGCTCAGCCTTAGTTAAATAACAATTATTAAAAGAAAACTAAAAGCTCAGCCTCAAGTAATTATAACAATTGTACTCACCTTAGTTTCACAACGGTGGAATTCAAATAGCCATTGTCATCATACAGAATTTTTTGGAGCTGTATTTTAGGGTTGAAAATTAGCTGTTACTTATTCACAACCATTTATTTGAATATTTGTATCACTCATCCTTTACACAATAGGAACAATGGAAAATCTTTAAGCTGACATGCTGCCATACAGTGTTGGTTAGGACTGAATCTCTCCACAAATCAAAAGGAAATTCAGTCTCTTACCGCTTTCTCAATTTCTTCTGCTGTCTCCTGAAACAGTTTAGATGCTTTGTCATCCATTTCTGATGCAAAGTCCCTTTTCAAAGTTAACTTACCAGGGAAGACCTTAGCTGCAATTGTAAAAAAGAAAAAGAAAAGAAAAGAAAAAGAAAAACAAAGAAGAGTATAACATAAGTGAATTCATTGATATTTATTGATAAATTGGTAAAAAAGCACGGTATAAAACTGTCGTGCCTAATAGAGTGCCGAAGTGATGACGTCACTTTGTAGGACAACTCGGAAGCTAGCAGCGCATGGGTTCCCTTGGTCGAAAAGCAATGCATTTTCCCCATAGACTTTTGGAAAATCACAAAAAATAAGATCTGTGTTTAACAAAGGGTTGCGACCCTTACACGTTTTGTCTAGCAAGATAATCTTTACAAGTTAATCCAAAATGTATACATTTTGAAGCCTATATAAAGATTTTAAAAAACACAATCAGACACAATAAAGTTTAAAAAAACACAAGCAGGTTATAACAGTGTGTTCTATGTCATACGTGAAAAACGTGAAAATATTTAGAGGCTCTGTTCACCACAGACCTTATTTCAGGCGATTTAGCAAAAACCCATTCAAAAATCCCATAGGCTTTAGAGCGAGGGATCCGTAATGCTAAAATGCTAACTCACTTCCGCGTTTTGGCCTACAGAGTGACGTCTTCGGCACTCTATGTTGTTGTGCTTGTATTGTTCAGGCATGTAATTGGCTAAGGAAAAAAAAGCAGGAAAATATACCCTCCTCACCCCCTGCCATCAATATATATGCCAATATCTTTTCCGCAAAGTGAGAGAAAATGTTCAATCAAAGTCAAATATAGTCTTCACTGTATAAATTATACATTGATTCTTATTAAAGCTACTATTAAAGTTCTCAGTCAAGAGCAGTGAGTGATTTCCTCTGTGTTTTGTTGTTTAATTAACATTAAATAGATAGTTCTCCCAAAAATTGTAATTGTCATCATTTACTCTCTCAAGTTGTTTTAAACCTGAATAAGTTTCTTTCTTCTGTTTAAGTTATTTGGAAGAATGTGGGTAACAAAACAGTTGATGTACCCCAGTGATTTTCAAAGTATTTTTCCCTATGGAAGTCAATGGGGACCAGCAACTGTCTGGTTACCCACATTCTTCAAAATATTTTCTTTTTTGTTCAGCACAAGAAATAAATTAATACATGTTTGGAACTACATTACAGTGAATAAATAATGACAGAATTTTTATTTTGGGGTCAACTATCCCTTTAAGAACAAGCGGCTGGATTTTTATTATTAGGGCTACTGTCACTTTAAGACCTGTACGCGACATGTCTAATATACACGGAGCATTTTACAAGCAGATTTCTCTAAATTTTCTCGGTTTGCTTTGAATTGAGTTTAGACATAACCGAATGTTCTTATGTAAACCTTGTGTGTATTTGAGAGTATTAGTGAAATAATACTCGAAAGATAACTTAGTCCAGCAACCAGGCGCTGTTAGACAAGCTTTTAGTGCATGTGCACGTCGGGTGTTCGCGCTCAGAACAGCGCATCAGCAGTGAATGACATGTTTAACCGGCAAGGCTTTAAAGCACATGCAAATTAACTTTTGTGAACTCGCTGAACATGCTCCGTTCCTCTGCGAGTATTTGTCGCGTTGTACATTAATGCTGTTGAGACGGAGGTGTCAGGACTGCAACTGACAGAATGCACGATAGCTGCTGCATATTTCTACAATAGCAGCAGCTTGCTTGGAGCAAGGATCAAAGCGCAAATTTGAACTATATAGATATATCGCCCAGCCCTGGTGACCTAACTGTGATGTTATATGCAACCGATTAGAGAATAATTTCTCAAAAATTGAAGTTAAAGCCTAACGTTATATATAGTCCCAGCGCAAGCAGCAGCGCCCCATACGCTGACCGTTCAAATGGGAAACACAAATTGAGGAACAGCTATGTTCATACACAGCAGGGTATGTGAAAATAATGTCAGGGTATGTCAGTGAGCCTTTGTCTTGTCTCTTTAATCGTCTTATTTTACGTTATCATTATGACCAAAGAACCGTCAATATTTCCAAGCAATAGGTGTTTTTGTTAAGCATGTCGACATTTACCAGTAACTTAGTTGTGAATGGGTCTCGCACATAGACGCTAGATCACGCCAATCATTTCTCCCATTGGCTTTTAGATTTTCTGGAAGGAAAACAATTCCTCTCCCCCGTCCAAACTTTTAGGGCCAATCCCAATTCTACCCCTTACCCCTTCACTTTCCCCTAGCCCTACCCCTTCGCCTTCCCCTTGACCCTTGAAACAGAGTGGCAATGCGTAGGGGTGAAAATATTCCCCTAAGAAATGGGACACCACTAAGCCTCCGTTAAACGTCATTATAAGTCGTCGTCACAGGAGATGCACCGATGTTTATCACAACTTCCAAGATGCCGTCGACGTTCATAGCAGATGTAAGGTAAAAATAAAGGCAATTTGCCAGACATGAAAATATGTTGCGGGACTATCGTTAGCAAACTACAGTAATTTTAGCGATTTCTTTTTTTTTTAACAAACGTTTCTGTGAAGAAACTGACCGTAAATATGAACACAATATTGAATGTAACATAAAGCAAATCATTATTTGTCGTTACAATACTTATAAGCCACAAATACTACATTTTATGGGTCTCCTTTTTCGCTTGGGCAGCCATTTTGCCTCTGTAGCCTGGGTTAGCAGTGACACTTCTCATACCCCTTCGTTTGAAGTGTGCTCCTGAAAAATCTTCGTTTGAAGGGCTATCTGGCCCTTCCCCCTAGCCCTCCCCCTCCAACCAAAAGAGAATTGGGACAGCCCTACCCCTTCATGTGGACGCGCAAAACGGATGGGAAGGGGATAGTGAAGGGGTAAGGGGTAGAATTGGGATTGGCCCTTAGTATACCAGTATCAGATTTGCACAATCCATACGCACAATGCTTCAGCATGTTTCCCTCGTTCGAAAGCTTGCCAGACCTCCCGGGCATAGTTACGGTTGCTAAGACATGATTGGCCAGTGGCGGTTTTCGGGCGTGGCTTAGCAAAGGGTCAATTTAATTCCTACTAATTAAAAATGAATGGAAGTCAATGGAGACATATGACTAGTAAAAATTAATTTGTAGAGCTCTCTAATTGCAATTGTTACTAGTAAGAATTGAATTAGAGAGCTCTGTAATTGTAATTCTTACTAGTAATAATTGAATTAGAGAGCTCTCTGAATGTAATTCTTACTAGTAATAATTCAATCAGAGAGCTCTCTAATTGTAATTCTTACTAGTAAGAATTGAATTGTAGAGCTCTCTAATTGAATTGTTACTAGTAAAAAATGCAATTCCGACGAGGCTGGGTACAATTTAAGCTAAAACGGCTTGCCATAATGTCCTCATATTCTCTCCTTTTCACTCCGGCTGCCGACACCCGTCCCCCTCGGTGACTGTTATACATATGAATGTGTGTCACACATCTGCACATTATTTTTGATGATTCAAAACTGAGCAAGTCATACTTTGTGTACAGCCACTTTCCAGATAAACCAGCCCAGGCCGGCAGATGCAAGCAAATGAGGGCCCAAACCGTTCTTCACAGATACTGTCTCCAACACAAGGACTTGATGCACAGGCACCTTGAGAAAAACAAAACAAAAACATAATGACATTTTTAACCTGTAGGAGCTAGTAAATGATCTGCTCCAGCAGCAGTTTAAAATTTTTTGTAAATTATAGTTATATTCTAAAATGAAAATTCTCACCCTCATGTCACCCTAACTCCGCAAAAACACTTGTTTTTTTACGTAACATTAAAGGATAAAATTGTGAAGTAAACTGTGGAAACTGATTGCTTCTTCTTTTAAAGTTTTCAAGCTTTAAAGACACTCAAAGCACCAGTATCATAAAAGTAGTCTATATGAACTATGTGGTATATTCAAAGTTTTACAAAGCTAAATTTAGACAGAAATTTACTCCGGTCACTGAAAATCTAGGCATCTGCCCTATAGTGTCACCTTGTCAAGCTCATTGTGTAGCAATGTCGTAAGTGAATAACTTAATCCAGTAAGCAAAGGATTTAGTAGGTTAGTTCACAGCAGGCATGTACTGGCCATTGAGAACAATGGGAAATTCCCGGTGAGCCGGTCGAGTGGATCAATCTGTGAAACGAGGGAGACCTTCCCCCACCCTAAATTAGGCACCGTTTTATTGGAGGAAATAGGAAACTCCAAAAGGCAAATATTCCACAATTGCATTTGTAATGAAATGGAGCTATCCAAGTTTACTTTGAATCCGCAAACAGCAGTGCGAAAGCTGACAAACATTAAGGTTCTGTTGTGAAGCTAGCTGAAAACAACCACCAAAATGAAAAAGTAAAATGGAAGACTTTGTGCCATACACATAATTAAGCTTGTCAATCCAGAACCACCCTTAGTAATTTACAATGCAGTTACTATATCACTATATAATTTTTGCATATATATATATAGTATTTATTAAATGGAATATAGACTACAACACCTTTATAGAGGTGGTTTTGTGGTTTCTACAGTTTAGGATATTTTTTCATAACCAATTTTCATAGTGCATTATTATAATTATTTTATAAACCATATACCTATGGTAATGAGGAGCACAGCTTTGCCTGTAACTACCATGATCTCACACTACAGTTAAATTCTGAATTCTACTCAAGAAATATGCAAACTTCTAAAGCACCTTTTTTAAAAAAGTATTTTTTTTACTACAACGCCTTACTTTCTTTGCATATGTTATAATGAATTCTCGGTAACACTTTAGAATACAGTTCCTTCGTTAATGAATAACTACACAAGAACCAATGAGTAACACATTATTAACAATCTAGTAACTATTATTAACTAACAAGAAACTCTGATTAACGAACTAGTAAGTAATAGTGCACAGATGAAAGTGGTAGTTCACTATTAAGTAATCAATAACTACTATTTTTTTAATACTTCCCAGAGAACTACTGAAAAAAATTATACTTTATATATCACTTTATAATACGGATCCAAATAATTAGTAATTCCCACAGAAGTATCTAGTAACACTTTCATCTGTGAGCTATTACTTACTAATTATTTGGATCCGTATTATAAAGTGAAGATCATTGGAACTAACTATTAATGACTCAAGTGTTACTACATGATCTAGTCATGATTTGTGCAAACGTTTGACATTTTTGGTGAACTTTAGTATACTTTTAGAAAATGTCTTTAGTAACACTTGAGTCATTACTAGTTAGTTCCAATGGTCTTCACTTTATAATACGAATCCAAATAATTAGTAATTCCCACAGAAGTATCTAACACTTTCATCTGTGAGCTATTAATTACCAATTCGTTAATAAGAGTTTATTTTAGTTAACAGTAGTTCCTAGATTATTAATAACTTTTTCAGTAGTTCTCTGGGAAGTATTAAAAAAATAGAAGTTATTGATTAGTTAATAGTGAACTACCACTTTCGTCTGTGCGCTATTACTTACTAGTAATCAGAGTTTCTTGTTAGTTAATAATAGTTACTAGATTGTTAATATTGTGTTGCTCATTGGTTCTTGTGTACTTATTCATTAACGAAGGAACTGTATTCTATTTTCAATAAGTGACTGATGAAAAATCAATATCAGTGTATTGCATTCACTAGGAGTTAACTTGTAGAAATGTTATTGTTGTTAATAGCAGTACATTTACGTTACTGCACTCTAATTAAAAAATGTTTTACTGTTAAATGTGAAAAAAAAAAAATCAATATTTTGATAACTGCATTTGCAATATTTTCAAACGCCCAATATTAATTGCTTCCGTCCTATTTTATTTGTTAATTTATTTAAGGTGTCAACCCCAGCATAATATTCATGGGGGGAACCCATTTGCTGGATAGGCTGAATATGTCCAGGGCCGAATTTTAGCCCCAGTACTGCCCCAGGGCTGGTTGAAACAGGATCGACACGCAGCAGTTTTGTTAAACAAACTAGAATAACCTTATACAGGATACTGAGGAACCATCAATGGAACAACCATGAAGCAAAAATGGCAGACAAGGAACATATTGAAACACAGGACTTAAATACACAGGGAACAGATCAGGGAAACAGGACACAGCTGGGGCAAATGAACTGATAATGACAGGTAAACAGGTGAATGAACTAAACAGTAACGAGGAGCGGGAAAATAGAAACAGGACTGAACCAAATACACAAAGAACGGGGAAAACATAGGACACACATGTAACAATTGGTCTGATCTTGAGTTTAACTGTGACTTAATATACTTCCAGTGAAGTATACTTCAAGCATTAGGCTTGTTTGAGATGTGCCTTGCCTCGCCTGAAATGTATGCGAGAGTAGGCGGCTGCAGTGAGAGGAGGAGTGAAAAAAGCACAGGCAAGCCGGACAGATCTCGCTTCTCGCAGTGGGTCTGACACCTGTGAGATCAAAGACTGATATCGTGGGATTCACGCTCGTGCACAGTGTTGCTAATAAACTGGATGTAATTTAAGTTCTGTTGCTTTTATATGAAAATAAATATAATGAACAAGATACCCAAAGTACTTGTTATTTAATTACATTCCAAATATGTGTTTATCAATCATTTTTTCTTTAATACTGACTGATGTGTTTTTATATATTTTAATAAAAATTATATTAAATAATAACCCATATCACACTGTCAGAGAGTTTATTCACCCATAACGTATGTATACACATAAAACATGATATCAGAGTTTTAAAATCAAACATTTTAAAAGAGAACAATACATCACGTTTGTTTAGACCAATGAGCATTAAGCTGTGTTGTCAGCAAGTCGTTTCCCATCGTGCTTTTGATCAGCGCAGTCGGTGGAGAGCAACTGTGCGCGACTGCAGAATCCGACTAAGGGCCGGTTCACATATCGCGTCTTTTGCGCGCTCAAGTTCGTTATTTCAAATGTAGGCGCGCGGTATGCGCGCTCATAATGGAAGCGGTGCGGTCGCGGTGCGACGCGCTCCTTTTTTCCATGCGCGTCCGCGCCGCGTCGAGATAAAAACATCTCAACTTTTCAGAATACCGCAAGCGCACCGTACGCACACAATAGGTCATGTGACAAGAACCAACTGAAGCGCAACCGCCCTGGCGCTTTGCAAAATAGAGAATGCGGCGCGCCCAGCGTTTTCTACGCGTTTTTAGGCGCTATATGTGAATCCGGCCTAATCCGCCTTGCGCTCGTGAGTTTTTTGTCATATGACATCAGAGCAAGGCGGACCGCTCTCGGAAACATTTCTAACCGGCATGCATCTCGCGCTGATCACCAGTGATCGGTTCTGCACAGATTTTGCTCATCTCAAATAAGGCTAATGCCTTAAATTTCACTCAACTCACCTTTGGCTAAGCCACGCCCTAAAATGTAGATTGACCAATCACAGCGCAGCCAAGAACGAGCTCCCACACAGACTCCGACAGTTTTTCACAGCGAATGTTGCCAGGGTAGCGGTTTTCCCGCACAATTGGGCTATTTTAAAAAAAGAGTTGCGGGAAAAATTATGGAGTTGCGGGTTGCGTTTTTTTGGGCTATACTTATTATGTACTGCGGCCACAAAAATAATAATTAAATTGTAGACAAAGAAAAAATTAAAAGGGAACCATTTATTAGTGGGTGTTGTTGATCCCCGGGAATGAATATTTGGCAACAACCACTGTGGCGGGCGTTGTCTTGGGTGGGCGAGTGGACGCGTCTCATGTGTTTTTGACGTAACATCACAAATCTAGCATCATCACATCACATTCTAAGTGTTCCAAATGATGATAGAAAAACGTTCTGCAAATGTGAAATCAGAGTTCACCACAGTGATCTAGTAGCTTATGCTGCGACTGAATAACATAAAAAAAAACATTATTTGACACAGGCAAAGTTTCTTTCTAAGAACTAATGTTGCTGTGAAGAGGAAGCTGGCCCACGTTGCTTTTCACTCAAGCACTTCAACTGTTGATCATTTAGGAAGTGACTACTAGGGTCAGAAAATATCAGAGGACAAGTTCTTGACCTTTATTGTATGAGATTGTGTTTCAGTGTGTGATATTAAGATTTTGGGTGAGACAAAAGGCAAAAAAAATTTAAACTTAACACACACTCATATATATCTATCTATCTATGTATCTATCTATCTATGTATATATATGTATATATATATATATATATATATATATATATTAAATAACCAGGTTAACTTTTATTTATACAGGTTAATCTGTTGAGAACAAGTTATCATTTGCAACCATATATATATACAGGTGAAACTCGAAAAATTAGAATATCGTGCAAAAGTTCATGTATTTCAGTAATTTAAATTAAAAGGTGAAACTTTTCATGATATTCTCATTTTTCGAGTTTCACCTGTATAGAGGGAATTTATATATATATATATATATATATATATATATATATATATATAAATACATAAACATATACATACACACACATATATATATATATATATATATATATATATATATAATATTTATTTTTTTAATATATCAATATTTAATTTATTAAGTTTATTTTAAGGCCCTTTGTGGGAATTCAGCCATTGTCTAATCTGATTGGGCACTGAAAAATTGGGTTAGTTTTCATTCCATTT